GGCTCAAAATCACTTTAAAATCTTAAAAAATAACAAGTTATCACATCCCCCCAAGCTAAGATTTTGCTCGTCCTCGAGAAAAACAATAATGTCAAACCAAAGAAGGGAAATAACGTGCTAGAATCTAAACAAGGAGGGGCAACAAGGAGAATGCGTATACACACTGATCTGTATGGTAGCCACCACTATCAGTTTAAGCGCAAGTGAGAAGCAATTTAAACCTCTAAGTCGCCCTAGAGGACGAGTTTTTATCTCGTGCGGGTTTCCAATGAGCTTACCCCACAACTCACGCAATCCACAACACATCGTCAAAAATCACACAATTTCAATTTTTCGCCCAAGTCAACTCATCGGGATATAAGACACAAGCAAGACAAGTGAACAACTTTCAAGAATTACCAATCATACAAATGTACACATGAGTTGGGGGTAGAGAGGAGAACTAAACAAGGTTGCACTAGGATACTTCCTTTGGCCTTTTACTAGTTCATTAGAGCACACCTAGATATTCCAAAGTTGTAACAAGCCCTTTTTGGGTTATAAAATCTCAAAATGCTAGTCCACCTCCCAAAATGCACACCCAAGGCCCCTTAACTACACTCTAACTCGGGAATTTCATAAGAAACAACAATGCAAACAAGGTGTGGGAGGCATCCACGAGTTGACCTCTAAAGAAGAGAAATTTTTTTTTTTTTAGAAGTTTTGGGGTAGTTTTTGTTCTCCCCTTTTTTTATGCTCTTCTTTTTTTTCAATTTTCAATGCCCTCGCCTCTTTTAACTGTGAGCGGCTCTTTCGTTATTGAGAACGTGTGGCTTATTACGCCACTTATTACACATGATACAAGTAGAACCAATTCCCTAATAGAGTTTCATTTCGGGGAGGAAAGGGGACACATCAAGGGCACAAGGGACCACAAATTTATTCAAACATATCCTACTTGAGCAAATTAGACAATATCTTATACTAGGCGTGCAATTGAACATTCATTGGCTTTCATTTCATATACTCCAATGCAATCAAGATTAATAGACCTCTAAATGACCCCAACTCGTGCACACACTCTTCTAAAAAAACTTTTACTCATCACTCAAGAGTCAAGCAAGCAAAACATATAATCGTCATTTGAGTCTCATCCTTGGCAATTTTTTTTATTTTTTAATTTTTTTAAAGTTATATTAAAGAAAAATAAAGAAGACCATGAATATCCAAATGTACAACTATGAACGAATTCAAGCATCAAACTAACAATCAACCCCCCTTCATGAAAGTGTGAAGCTACCCCCCCCCCCAAGCTTAGACGAAGCGTTGTCCTCAATGCTTTGAAGAGATAATCAAGGGGGAGGGAGGGAGGGAAGGGAACACAATCAATCTCAACAAGTACCTCTAATCCAACATCCATAACTACAACAAAAAACCACAACAATAAAATCTAGCCCCAAACCTAACTCTTTAACAAGCAACCAATGAATGGCAAAAATAATTATAAAATCAATAGCTTGAGAAGGGATGAAGAGAGGAAGAGATATTACTCAATTTGATGCAAAATTCTTCATAAATTCTTCAAAACTTTGTAGAGTATGTTGCGTCTTTCCAATGTAGCAAAACTCCAAAATTCTTGTGAATTTGAGACTATATGATGTAATTTGGAATGGAGTGATAAAGAGTACCTAATTGAGAATCATTTCATAAAGCTCGTTAGTTCAAATCATCAAACAATTAAAATCCATGCACATCGTTATTCAAAAATAAATAAATAAAAAAAAAATTGCCTTTCTTTTCGGTCTTTGGCTAGACCTTAGCTAGTAAGTAATTTGACAAACTCCTAAGGAGCTTATCATATGCACTTGAGCACATTTCACAAATTGCAACCATAAAAATAAGAAGAAAATTTAAAGAGAAGAAGAAAAGGATATACATTAATCTACAAAGTTTCCTAAAATAAAAATGAGAAGATCTAAAAAAGGTCCTAGATTGAAAAGAATAAGGAAAAATAAAAGTATAACTATCAACAAAACACTTTATTGGAGATTCATTTGGTAAATCAAAAACCATATTTACATCAAATTCACCCAATTGAGTATCGTTGGTTAGAAATTGATCATGTAAATCATAGAATGAAGTACAAAGAGGCTCATGTGAAGTGAACTTGGGAAGAGAAGTGGGGAAAAGGCTTGGAAATGAGACAATAATATCAAGAGTTTTTGAGAAAGGGACATGAGGCTCAAAAAAAGAATGGTCAATTGGTAAAGACTCAACAATCACCTCACTCTCAACTCTGTGGTCCTCAAAAGAGGGACTTTCCTCCACTTCATACCTTTTATCCTTACTTTCCCAAAATTTATCATGAATATCTAGGCTACTATTTCCAAATTGATAATTATCCTCAACACCTCTTGAATAATCATCAATATAATCAAATTGAAGAATACCATCAACATTATATTTGGACTTTACTAGACTTATATCATTAGTGGAATTCAACAAACAATCATCAACTTTGTCATTATTCATAATTAAAGGTACATTAGGCTCATTATACAAATTGATGATATTTGGAAAAATAGGGTCATCAACCAAAGGTTTTTCAAGAAGAGGTTTCTCAAAATTTTCATTTTCATTCATTTGAACCCTAGAAGCTTCACTAAGATGATTCATGGATGTACAATTGCTCTTTATGTCCATTAGATTCTTAGAATTCTCTTCACAACCCTCTAAAAAACATTCTAGAGCGATCTCTAAAGAAGACTTGGGTTCTTGAGGATGGGAGAAATTTCGAAAATCACAATGAGAAGAGGTGTCAACATTATGCACATTAGCCACATCATAAGGAATACATGACATAAAATTGGAATCCAAGAAAAAAGTTGGGGAATTTTGACAATTTGCATCACCAAAACTCAAAACATTAGAATCCAAAACATTATCATCACATTCTTCAAATGAGTTCGCACCATTAAAATGGTCATACATCTCATTATTAGCCATCTCCCAATCATAAGTATCTGTAGCTAGCCATTCAAACATACTCCAATTCTCATTAATGGTTTTAGACATAAATTGACCTTCGGACATAGATTCAACAACAACTCGCATTTCATCATTTAAACCTTCAAAAATTACTTCACAAATATCCACCTTTAAAAGTCTATGACCATAATTATAACCAATATAATCATTAACCCTATGGTAATATCTCCAAAATGTTTCATTCTCGTATTGGGGAAGGGAAAAAATTGCCATTTATTTCAATGGAAGAAACCCCAAAATAAAATATAAAAAAAAAAAGAAAAGGGAAAAAAATATATGTACAAAGACTTAGACTCATCTAATCAATAATTAGACAATGTCAACCGAAGTCCCCGGCAACGGCGCCAAAATTTGATAAGCTGTCGTCGAGCCTACCAAAGATAAAAACCTAACTTGGTCTCTCTAATGGGTAGAAAGGGTAAGTAAGGGTCGATCCCACAAGGACTAAGGGGAGCACTAACAAATATCGATTTGTGATAAGCTAAGTCAAGTCTTTTTGGGTTATGAGTTATGAAGAAAAACTAAAAACAATAATAAAGAGGATCTCGGGAAGGTATCCACCAATTAAGTCGTTCACAAACTACAATTTAACATACAAGACATAGCAATTTGGGGATAAATTAGGGGAAGTCATCTAAGGCACCCAACTACTCTCTCAAGCTAGAGGGCTTACTTGAATCATGAATACAACCTACTCTCGTGGTTACAAAGCATAAAACAAGTGTTAAAGCATAGTCACGATGACATAAACATTCCCTTGATCGGAAATTCCTATTCTCATGGCATTTCGGGTCAATCAAGCATAAGGGAGCTAACTCAAGTTCATCTCTCGATCCTTCGTTGACAAAGCTTAGATAAATAGTTCTAGCAATGGCCACTTACAAGAACTAACAATGAAACCACTTAAGCTCAACTAATTAACATCCCACATTAGCTAAATCAACACATACAAACAAGTATTTGTGAATTCATCAATGATTTCAACAATCCCAAGTAAAAGAACTACTCACAAATCATAATAAATTGCAAAACTAAAGGAATTAACAACTAAGAACATGAAACAAACACTAATCTAACATAAACAAGTAATTAAGGATGAAAAGATACAAAAATATGTAAATAGAATAACAAAATAGGACAGAGAGTAAGAAATTCTCATTGATATTGCAAGGAGTATCCAAATCTTCAAGTCTCCTTCCTTCAATTCTTCATATTCCAAGCTTTCAACAAGATTTTCTCACTTTCTCTATCTAGAAAATGAGATTTTCTCTCTCTAAAAACCCTAACCTAAGATAAAAATAAACTAAGAAGATCCCCCCCTTACAAATGAAGCTAAAGGGATATTATATAACCCCCAAGTAAAAGGACGGAGAAACCAAGAATCGGCCCGTCTACAGGTCGGCAGGGACGTGCCAAAGGTTGCACGGACGTGCAGACCTGTTAAAATGAGAACAATAACTACTGCCTGACCTTGCACGGACGTGCATGAATTGGCACGGACGTGCATCAATTGGCACGGACGTGCAGCTTTTTCTGGCGAAACAGCTTCATTTCGGAAGGTCATAACTTCTTCATTACTCATTGGAATAAGGCATGTAAGCAGTCGTTGGATAGCTCTTGAGATGAACTTTAATCTCAAATTTGAATCACTTCAAAAACTTGAGTATAAAAAAATTTATAGTCATTTGAAGTTGACCTTAGTGAAAAAATCCTTCCAAAACCCTTCCAAATGCTCTTATTTCACTCTTGTACACTTTTCCTTGCTTCTTTCATTCTTCCATAGCTCCCTCATTTCCTCTTCTTGTCTCCAACTTCTTTTCTTCTTTTTCCACAAGCTTCAAAGTGCCATATTTATACCTAAATATGCACCAAAACACTAGCAAACCCGTGAAGCATATGATACACAAAAAATGCATAAAAATAGAGTAATTAGTGAGCTAAGCATTGATTTCCCACAATTCTAAGGCTCAAAATCACTTTAAAATCATACAAAATAACAAGTTATCACCAAGCTCTCTCTTAAAGAAAAAGGAGTTAAAGCCATAAATACTAGGAGCTTTAGTATCAATTCCTTTATGAGCAGCATCAATTTCAGCATGAGAGACAGGCTGAATAAGATAGCTCTGAGCAACAGAGCTAAGCTGTTTACCTCTCCTCATAGTAAAAAGATCAACAGCAGGGAGCCAAGGAGCCTTAGTCCCTAAAAGAGACTTATAGAAAGAGATAATCTCATGAGAAATAGAATTCGGATCCTTAAGCAAAACCTGGTTAGAGTCAAAGATAGAGTCAATTCTGTTCCTTGCTTGTCTAGTCTTCATCATTGAGAAAAAATAATGAGAATTTCCATCTCCAAGCTTAATCCAGTTGATCCTAGACTTTTGTTTGAATATACTTTCTTGAATATCACTCCAGTGCTTGACAACCTTAAAAGCATCAGATTCTTTTGCATATAAATCCAAATCATCAAGATTCTGAGCCATTAGGTTCTGAATTTCAGCAAGCTCAGCATTAGCTTGATCAATCTTCACAACAATATTTCCAAAATGCTTGCTATTAAGAGACTTAATACTAGACTTCACAGAATTAAGCTTATGCCAGACAGAACTACCAGAACACCAGGCCTGAGAAACAATATCAAGGAAATCAAGATGATCAACAATATAGTTTAGAAATCTGAACGGTCTACCTTTCCCAGCAGGAGTGGGACAAATATCCAAAAGAACTGGACTATGATCAGATAAAGAAGGGGGGAGATAGACGGTTTCAACATGACCATGAGAGTCCAACCAAGCCTGGTTAACAAAGACTCTATCAATCCTAGAAAGAGTTCTAGGACCAGTATGAGCCTTATTTGACCAAGAGTAGAAGGCTCCTTTGCTCTTGATCTCAGTGAGGTCCAAATCATCAACCAAACTCTAGAAATCTCTAGTCTCATTGTTGATGTTTAAAGGTTTTGATGATGAGGAACTTAAGGTACATCAAACTCATCTCATAAAGACTTTTCAAGTGTTTGTTTAGCTTAGGTGAAATTTATCTTGGAGATGGAAGAAGTAACTGATGCTGAGAAGACTTGAAGGAGTTCTTTATCAAGAAAGTTATTCATAATAGAAGAAGAGTTCCCTAACAGGAACTGAGTTCCCTCACAGGAACGTTCCTTCACGGGAACTTGAAGATTGCTGACTAAGATCTTTGGAGGAACTTAGTAAGCGTGGAGTCCAAGTAAACCTACCAGAACAAGAGTGCAGCACAGCAATGTTTTAGTTAAGATTTTATCTTCTAGATTCATTGTTAAATATGTTAAGTAGGATATGCATGAAACTTATTAGAAGCGTGACAGTTAGCTTGGAAAATAAATTAAAATCGAACAAGATAAAAGATAGAAATCAGAAAAAGATTTTCTTTAAATATTTATCTCTTAAAATCAGTTTGTTAAAAAGATATTATGCTTTTTAATTAAATATTTCTATCTTATTTTCTGAAAATATTTCCTTCAAAGTATTTAATTAAAAACCGTGTTTTAAGATAAGTTAAGTTTTACTTATTTATCTTTATGTAAACCTACTATTTATACAAGTAATACTTGTATAAATAGTAGAGAAGAACATGAGCCTAGTTTTTGGTGAGTTTTATGCGTGAAGAATTTACAGAGCTATAGTCGTGTAAGTTTGCCAGGCTTATCATACTGTCATATTAGTTTCGGGTTTCATGCATAGCTTGCCTATCATATACTAGGTGTTAATTCTTGTATTTGGTTTTGGGTTTATTTGGGTGAGAGTATTTTTATCATTGCATATAGAGAGAGCTTTTGGTGAGAAGGGGGAAGATCTGTACTTAGGGAGTACGAGAGAGTCTGAGTGTGGGACTCAGACTGGGTAGAACAGTGATCTGTTCTGTAGCAAGTTCATTGAGAAACTTGTGAGTAAAGGCTGAATTGTAATAGGTTGTAACTTGGTGTTTGCCCTATTATAGTGGAAGTATTTGTGTTTGAAATCCCTAAGGTAGGGTCGAGGTTTTACTTCTAGTTAGGCACTAGAAGGTTTCCTCGTAAAATTCTGTGTGCATCGCAAGTTCCTTTTTTATTCTGTTTTATATTTGCAAAATTATTATTTAGGAACTCAACTTCAATTCACCGGCCCTCTTGTAGTGTTCATCTCAATTAACAATTGGTATCAGAGCACGGTTCTCACGTGCAAGCAGATAATTTTGCTGAGTAAGTTCCTGGAGAGATGAATTACAAGGAGAAACTTGAAGAAGGGTACTATACCCAACGTCCACCTATGTTCAACGGTAAGTTTTATGCCTACTGGAAAAACAGGATGGAGATATTCATCAAGGCCGAAAATTACCAGGTTTGGCGTGTAATTGAAACTGGTGATTTTGAAATAACTCAAACCAATGACAAGCATGAGGTAGTTTTTAAATCTATTTCTGAATATGATAAAGAAGATTATCAGAAACTTGAAATGAATGCTTTAGCTATAAAGTATCTGCACTATGGACTTGGACCCCATGAACATAATCGTATCATGGGATGCAAGTCTGCCAAACAGATTTGGGATTTGTTACAGGTAACTCATGAAGGTACTAACGAGGTAAAACGTTCTAAAATAGATTTATTGATGTCTAGGTATGAAAGGTTTGAAATTCAATCCAAAGAAACCATAGAAGAGATGTTTACTAGATTCAATGATATTATTAATGAACTGAACTCCCTTGGCAGGCATATTCCTATTGATGAACAGGCAAGGAAGATCTTAAGAAGCCTTCCACAGGATGAACGCTGGAGATCCAAAGTTACTGCTATGCAGGAAGCTAAGGACTTCACCAAGTTTAATATGGAACAACTAGCTGAATCATTGATGACTCATGAACTTCACCTGAGTTCCAATACTGAAAGTTCCAGAAGTAAAAGTCTTGCACTCAAGGCTCAAAACTCAGAAGAATCAGAAGTTGATGAGGAAGAGATGGCTATGCTAGTTAGGAAGTTCAAGAAGATGATGAACAATAGGAAGTTTGACAGGAACAAGAAGTACACAAGTTCCAAAAACACAACGTGTTTCAAATGTGGATCAAAGGATCATTTTATCAAAGATTGTCCTGTTTAGGATGGAGAGAAAGGAAAGACTAAAGGCAAGGAGCAATCCAAGGAGTCAAGAGTCTACAAGCCTTACTTCACCAAGGACAACGTTAAGAAAGCCATGTTGGCTGCTTGGGGAGATACAGATTCAGAAGAAGAAGAAGAGGAGGATCAACCATCAGAAGAAACTGCTCATTTATGTCTAATGGCAAAAACTGATGAAGCTGCCAAGCTAAAGGAGCTTGAGTCTGAGGTATGGTTCTCTTACTATCAATTAAAACATCTGTCTAAAGAAAATCTAATAGATATTGTTTTGGAAATTCAAGAAGATCTAAAAGAATTGCATAGATCCAAACACCTAAGTGATAAAGCTTTGATAACTTACAAAGAGAACAGTGAATGGGTTGATAACATGAAGTTTGACATTCAATACAGGTTCTTCAGTCTATTTGATGACAATAAAATTCTAAAAGAGACTCTAGAGAACTTAAAACAAGATAACATACTCTTGAATGTGGAATTGTCTTTGTTAAAACTGAGTGTTGATACTCCTAACTCTGAAGTTACTCCACCTACCGATTATCCGAATTTTGAAAAATTAAAACATGATTTGGAAGAGTTAAAAACGGATAAGGCACGTCTTGAGGGGGAACTTGAGAGAGCTAGGAAAGGTAAACAACCAATAGAGTATAGAGTTCCTGACTGGATCACTAAGGCTCAAACCAAGAAAACTGAAGGTTTAGGTTTTAAAAGAAAGTTCCAGAAAGAAAAGAAGTATGTCAACTTGCCTAGTAGCATTGTCAGTTATTTCTGTGGAAATACAGGACATAAGCAGGTTAAGTGTCCGAAGAAAGAACAAAACACTCAGAAGAATTTCAAACATGTAGAACAAATCTGGGTTAAGAAAAATGAATCAACTCTTGTTACACAGGAACCCAAGGAAACCTGAGTTCCTGACTCTAACGTTTAAATTCTTCTTGTAGGTTCCAGTGAGGGGGAACAACACTTGGTACCTCGACAGTGGTTGTTCTAAGCACATGATTGGAGATAAAACTAGATTTCTCTCACTGGATGCCTACTACGGTGGAACTGTGACCTTTGGTGACAATATGAAAGGTGACATAATCGCTATTGGAAAGATAGGAAGGTCGCGTTCCCATACCATTGATAATGTATTTTTAGTCGAGGGACTCAAACACAATTTGTTGAGTATTTCACAGTTTTGTGACAAAGGTAAATCTGTTAGCTTTACTTCAAATAAGTGTAGAATCATCCACAATGACACTGTGAACATTATTTTAGAAGGAACTCGAAAAGGGAACACATATGTTGTGGATCTTAACGAGGTTCCTAACAGTAGTTTAACATGTCTTAGTGTTATTGAGGATGATCCTCTTTTATGGCACAAAAGATTTGGCCATGCAAGCTTTTCTTTACTTGATAAATTAAGATCTAAGAACTTAGTGGAAGGACTTCCTTGCATTAAGTTCCTGTATGACAAAGTGTGTGAAGCTTGTGCTAAAGGTAAACAGACCCGAATTTCTTTCAAGTCCAAAAAGATAGTAAGTACAAAAAGACCTTTGGAACTCATTCATATGGATCTCTGTGGTCTAATGAGAATCCAAAGTAGAAGTGGTAAGAAATATGTAATGGTTATTGTTGATGATTTTTCAAGGTTCACTTGGGTGTTCTTTCTTGTAAGTAAGGATGAAACGTTTGATGAGTTTGTTGCTTTTGTTAAGAAAGAACAGAGAAGAACAGGTAATCAGTTGATACATCTTAGATCTGGCCATGGAACAGAATTTGAGAATTCAAAATTTGATGAATTTTGTGCTAAGTATGGTGTGGATCACAATTTCTCTGCCCCAAGAACTCCACAACAAAATGGAGTAGTGGAACGCAAGAATAGGAGTCTTGAAGACATGGCAAGGACAATGCTGATATCAAGCAGGCTGCCTAGGAACTTTTGGGCTGAGGCAGTGAACACAACATGTTATATACTCAACAGAGTATCTGTTAGGGCCATCACCAACAAAACTCCATATGAACTTATGAAAGGGAGAAAACCTAATATTTCTTACTTTAGATCTTTTGGTTGCAAATGTTTTGTTCACAATAGTGGTAAAAGAAACTTGGGAAAGTTTGATGAACGCAGTGATGAGGCAGTATTCCTAGGATATGCCTCAAATAGCAAAGCTTACAGAGTGTATAATAAAAGAACAATGTGTGTTGAAGAGTCTGTACATATTATATTTGATGAGACTGAAAATTTGGTTGATGTACAGGATTGTGATGATGATTTCGAGATTGGACTTGTGTGTAAGCAAAATCCAGATGAGGAACCAGTATCACTGCAGAAGCAGCAAGTTGAAATTGCAGAAGTAACAAATCCTGAAGTAAATGTTGAACCAGAGTTGGAAAATGCACCAGGAACTGTACTTCAAGAACAGATTGAAAATCATAATGAAGGCCAAAATGTGGAAACTCCTGAAGAAGTTCAACCTGAGTTCCAAAATCAAGTTCCTACAGAAGAACCAGTCAACAATAATGAAGAGAGGATGTATCCAATCAAAGATTTCACTCCAAGGCCCTGGAAATATCATAAATCTCATCCAGTTGACACAATCATGAGTGACATCACAAAAGGAACTCAAACCAGATCTCAGCTTAGGAACTTCTGTGCATTCAATGCATTCCTTTCCTCCATGGAACCTAAAAATTATGTTGAGGCTTTAACTGACGCAGACTGGATTAATGCTATGCAAGCTGAACTAAATGAATTTGAAAGAAATAAAGTTTGGCATCTAGAACCTAGACCTAAAGACAAGAAGTCCATTGGACTAAAATGGGTATTCAGA